TCGTGCCACATCTCCACGCCTCTTTCGACGTTACACGATCGGCGATTGCGACGTAGCGACAGACTCGCCGTTATCACCCCCAACAATGTGAATATAACTATATTTTATTATTATTAAAATAAATTGAAGATCTCTAGAGTTTAATATAATAACTTTCACTCCAGAGTCTTTTAACGACAACGGAGGTTCTTCGGAAGTCTATACCTAAATATCTTCAAAGATTTTTGCTAAAAAATTTCCTGATATATATCATACACACTAATGAAGAATTCATTGTTGTTTGTTATACATATGACGATAGGGCCATCTATTGGATGACTACTTTTCAAAAGAATTTCTGCAATCCTACTTTCTCTATTATTTAAAAATAAGGTTGATCACTTGTTTTCTAATAAATTTATGGTAAGTGAAAAGCTATAATAAAATTCTAAACTAATATTAAAATAATATTAAAATAGTATTATTAGCTTATAATAAATTTAATATATAAGTTATAATCTATTATATTAAAATAAATAAATAAACAAAAATTAATAATTTTATTTATATTAATAATTTAAAACAAATATAATATAATTTTTTTTAATAATTTTTTTAAAAAATAAACTAATTATTATTTTAAATTTTAAAAATAAATAAAATAAGAAAGTATTATATCAAATATTATTATATAATTAATATCTTTAATAAAATTTTATATATTAACAATTTTTTTATACATTTATTAATTAATATATAATTATTAATATAAAATAATATATTTAAAGTTGTTATTAAAAAACTCTTTTCTACTTACCTTCCTACACTTGAAAATTTTCTTTTTAGAAAAATTTTAAGTTGTTTTCTTTTTTTCTTTGCTTTTCCTCTTTTCCCAATACTATTTACCATAGTTCCATTGAAACTTGATAATTATTAATTTTTTTTTTTTTTTTTTTTTTGGTTTAATTTAAATATATCTTAAATAGGTTAAATAAAGACAAATTACAGTGACAAAAATTTTGCTTTGGAAAGAACAAACAATAGAGAGATTCCGATTGAGAATAAAGAAGCTTTGAATCATACAATTCACCCGTAATGTAATCGATAAGTGCTATCATTAGCTGGTCCGTTGATTATGTCACAATTACGACTTTCCTATTACTCTCTTCTTTCCTTTTTCTTTGTTTCTCCCTTCTTTTCTACAAACTTTTCTTTTATATATACTCCCTTCCTCTTCTTTTTTTTTCCTCTCCCTGTTAAAGTTAGGTTTTTTTCTTCCTTCTGAACTTTTTCCTCTCTAGGCTTCTCTTTCTCTTAAAAGTTGTCGATCTTCATCTTATCACCCCTCTGGCCAGTTGACTTCCTTTTCTCAAGAACCATATTAAGAAGTAGCAACTTCTTTTATGTTGTAGGCCTTAAGAAGTTTCTTGTTTCCATAATTTTTTAGAAAAAAAACAGATGGTTTATCCCTTTCAAAAGATCAGCATAATTATCATTACTACATCTGATATTGTTTACTTGTTAATGGTTAGACTAGATACATCTAAGAAGTCATTGTACAACTATTGTTATCTGAACTCCCAGGGAGTTGTGCCCCACTGTATCCAGTAATATGGCAGCCAATGCCAATATAGATTCCTACAAGTGACAGGCTAGTGTCTGGGATACCTAGTAAGATGACATGTGACAATCAAGGATTCTAGTTATTTCTGCAAACAGAGCTGGTGTTGACAACAAAAGTTCCTCGATTACTCCTCAACAATGTAGGTCCATGTGCATGGTTAGGTAACAATGTCTTTAAGAAATTTCAATTCAATTCTATCCATTGGACATTTCTGTCACACTTGGAAAATGGATATGTCAAATTCTTTATATGACTTGGAGGCTAACCTGTGAAAAGTGACTGCAGTGCCTTCATGTATAGAAAAAAACCAACTCTCTTTTCCTTCACTTTTCTACCTGTCGTACATCAAGCCAACTTTGGAAAGCAAGCATATCAAATCCTATTTATAACTTGAAGGCCAACCTGTATACTTGACTGCAGTATCTTCATGTGTTTGGGTATTTCTAATCCTTTTTAGTTCACATTAGGCACCTGTCTAAGTATTAAGTTTAGGTTTTAATATTACATTTTATTAGCACTTAGGTGGGTTTATAGAATAATATTGGAATGGTTGGGACCACTTTTGTTGCGTCTTATATTAGACCCTTCTTAGCAAAGAGAGATATATATTAGTTTTTAGATTTGTAATATTGCCACACAGCAATCACTTATAAATAATAAAGATATTAATTGCCATTCTAGTATTAAAAATAATAATAATAATAATATATTTAGAGTTTTAAAATATTGATTTTTTTTAATATTAAATTCTTTGAAATAAAAAAAAAAAATCTTTTTTTTTAAAAAATATACTTTATAAACAAATATACATACCTTTAACTTAATTAAAGAATTAATAAATAAAATAATAAAAATAGAATCTAAAAAAAAAGATTTATTAACAACAAAGAAAAAAAAATAAAAAATAAAAAAAAATATGTATATTCTTATTTATGATTGTTAAGCATATATACTGTAAATTTTTATAAAAGAAAAGATCAATTAATTAATTAATTAATTAATAATTTCTATTAATAAATGTTTAATATATTATATATTAAAGTATCTAAATTTTAAATATTTAAAGTTTTATTTAACAAAATATATGTAATTATTTAAATATAAGTATTTAAATATCAATAAATATTTGTATTTGTACATATATAAAATTAAAGAAAAATTAGAATATAAATATATTTAAATATTTTTTTAATAGTACTGTAATATGAAAAATTTTTTTAAAAATATATACTTTTAATAAAACTAAATAAGAATATTACATATTTATTAAGTATATTAGAAACCTATTAAGTATTATTCTGTGTATTGATCAAGAAATAGTTAAAAAAATTAAATATTATCTATTAAATACTAACAATATTATATAAGTAAAAATTGATTATATTTTATCTTATTCTAATTTATATATATTACTTTTTTATTACTTTAAATATTGATTCACTTTATTTATGACTTAACAACGTATCTAATCGTATCTAACTTAATTACGTATGGGTTTGTAATGATAAGTATATCTTCATAACATCTATTCGCTGAAGTTTGTTTTCCTCTTCTCTATTTGTCTATATTCTTACATAGGTTCATCCCCTGATTTTGAAGATTTGTTTAAATTTTTTTGTTTCTTGTTTTCTACTTTCAGGCCATGTTCTTCCAAATATTCGATGTATTCACGATTCTCAATCTTGAACCGTTCACCTGCCTCTTTTTGCATTTCTTGATATTTCTATATAAAAAGATTTTTTATAAACAGTGGATATAATTTAAATTTACACAAATTTTATGTACCTTCTTAGATTCTTCGTCCATTGTATGCCAACGTTCGGCGACAAACTTAAGCGCTTTTCTCCAGGACAAACCTGGAAACTCGACATCTCGTTTTTCGTACATTTCTTGCCGAAAATAACCAAAAGAACCTAATGGACGTTCAGGTTTTTCTGGGACAGGTTTGCGAACAGGTGCGGCAAATTTACGGGCGGCTCTCAATTTGGGAATTCCTAAGGCATTTTTATTTGAATGTTCTGATCTATCATTAAAGCTATGCCTTATTGGCTCTTTTCCCTTTTCTCTTGTAGTTGTTGCACGTTTTACGGAAGTAGATGGTCTTTTATGCTTTCGAACAACTTGGGATTCGATTTCTTTCCGAGATCTTTCTTGATTTACAGTTTTTTCAACGATGCTGTCATCGGATCTTTGAGCAAGTATAGGTTTTCCCCTCTTACGAATGCTTTTATTCGTCGAGATTTGTGAATTTGTTTGTGAAAAGATTTTAGAATCACGGGAATTTGCGCTCGCCTCATTTTGAGTTCCGGGTTCTTGCGCAGAAATGGGCTCCACACTACTAGAGGATCTTACTTCTCGAACTTCATTATTTATCGAGGGTTGAAAAGGTGTCTCTAAGTCAAGGTTGGAAATTTCCTTAGAGTGAATATTACTAGTAACATGAGGATGTTTCGCTCTCTTCTGAACATCAGCATCGGGTAACTGGATTGAACATTGCGGGTCCTTTCTTCGCTTTCTACGTATTCTAGTTACGCCGTCCGTCAGCATTTGAACTGATTCCGAAGATGCCCCTAAACCTCGAAGATATGAACGAGTAATGATTTTTCGTTTTGTTGGTAAAAGTGACCTAACATCTTTTTCTTTTTCTTTGCCAGAAGATTCGGAGATAAGTTGCGGTGAATTTTCGACATTATCATCATCCCGCGTGTTGATAACATTATTGATGAAATTCGAAAAAGTTTGTCCATCAATTATTTCTTTTTTAATATAAGTATCTTTTTCATCATATTGTTCGTCTCTAACTGTTGAAGAAACCATTTCATATGCATTATCTTCATTGTCTTGCGGTGGTGGAATATGATTCTGACAAATATCCAAATTATTACCTGAGTTTGAATGAGAAATCAGAAGATTATCTGTCACCTCATCACGAAAGTTGGAAGGAACCGAAGGGGATGGGCTAAACTTTCTGGGACGTCGTTGCTTTCTGGATTTTTTATACTGTAGGACCAGTTTTGCCGGCTCATCTATGCTGCCAGCTCTTGTCACGTGATCGGTGTTATTTGTTGTAAAAATGCTATCACCGTCCATTAATGGAATTAATTGTTGTGGGACGGTGGCTTTAAGAGAATTGAAGGCTTCTTCGGCGGCTCTCACGGCATAAAGGAAGGCATCACTAGCCTACAATAAATAAATTAACGTCATTCACTTTGTTTACAACATATAAATAAATTTTATTCTCATAGTTTAGCACGAAATGTATTTAAAAAAAGTTTTGATCGTTTTTTTTCATGTAAACACTGTTTTCAATGAGAACAACGTAAGGTTCAATAAATTTGCTAAAAACCCGCATAAAACATTTAAACACCGTTTAAACTAGAAAATGGAAAATCCTGTGATAATTAATATAAATAACTTACTGTTTGTTGAGTATTTTCGTGTTCTGTGGGTTTAATTTTGAATGAAGGCAAGATTGGGCTTCGTTAGAATAAGAAATTATGCCATCCGTTAAATTTTTTGCAAGTGATTTTATTATATGTTTTCATTGCAATAGATGAAAAAATAAAATCCAAAATACCAGTTTGAGCATGAGGCGAGGACATTTTCTTATGCAAAAAATACGTTAATAAATGATTATATTAAGATAGCTAGTGAGAAAAGATAAAATGAGCTTAAGGGAATGAAACTTCGACTTTATCCGATATGAATTAATTTATTTCTTTTAGTTCCAAATACGTAATATTAGTATTTATGCAAAATAATTGTTAAACTGCGGTGTAAACACTTCATGTTGTACAATTCTATAAAATTTAGCGAGCATTTTAAAACAACTTTACTGTGTTACCAAGAATACCGCATTGCGCGGAAATTAAGTGATAGTAAATTCTGATACCTAATTTCGAAAATAAGAATAAAGTCTTTAAATAAATGAGTTTTATTTGTTATTTTAAAAAAATAATTACGTATATTGTATAAAATATTTTATTCAACTTATTTGACAACAGTATAAGGCCTTTAAATATAATTTATAAAAATAGTATATTGTTTTCTTATTAAATAAATTTAATTTTTTTTTGATAAGCATTAAATGCATAGCTTTTATTAGACTTTTACATTATGTTATTATATTAAAGATTATTTATATTAATAAATTATTATTTATAAATAATATTTGTAAATTTTACTAAATAAGTATTCATAGTTACTCAGTATCACATGGCAAAATATATTGTTTTAAACTTTCTTTTCAATATTAGTTATATGGTTACTATAGGCAAGCTAGTATTTAACTTATTGTATCAACATATAAGAATGTTATTTCTTTTACAATATATATTTTATTATATACAAATAAAATAAAAAAATATTTTTATCTAAAAAAAAAAAAAAAAACTCTTTCCCAAAAATTTTGTATCGCTTAAAAATTTCCTTTTTTAGTAACTGACAAAATTCTAA